TAGGTACAGCGCAACTGAGGATTATAGGAGTATGAAGAGTCAAAATCGACTTTTTACAGGTAAATTAGTTGTTGAAGTAACAATTTATAAGCTTTATTAGGCGTAGAAACGAAGTTCTTAGAAGATAAACTAGTAGAATGGACCGGCAAGTGAACTAGCAGAATCAATACAAATTAAGATAATGTAAAGAGAAGATACAATATATAATTAATAGTGAAAAATTGCATAGAACAAGATGAAACGCCTTGAAAAAAGGCTATAAATTTTACTATGCCCAAAACGAAAGTGAAACTGGTCGAGATAAAATAAACTTATAAATAAATGAATCGAGGCTAATCAGATACAGAAAATAATTTATAACCAGTGATAAAATTGATGTAGTATCGTGCTCTGAAAATGAAGCATATTTTGTACGTGAGATAAATTCAATCATTAAAACGGGTCTAAATTCAATTAATAAATACATTTAACTGCATCAATCAATAAGTATTCGGTTGTAGAAACTCTCATAAATTTGTAGGGGGGCTTTATTCAATTCCTTCAGCAATAATAAACGGAGCAACGAACATGAATCACTGCAAGCACGCAAAGGCTATTGATCTTTTCCTAAAGTACTCTACACAACAGTTGTAAACTGTGAGGCTAGCTGAAGATGTCGAAATTAAAATCCTTTATTTTACATGTTCAGTTGTATAAAAAGAAAACCGAAGCAGCCAAGAAGGAATATTTGAAAGCCTTAGCTGCTTACAGAGCTAGTTTAGTCTCGAAGGTAAGTTTGAAAATTTGCTAGGATGAGGGACTTAGTTAACGTAATTTGTTCTAATTAAATCATCTTCTTAAGCAGGCAGCTGCCGATCAGTCTGACGTCATGTACGGAAATTCCGTCAGTCCTACATCTTCATCAGCCACATCTCCCGTTAATTCATCGCCCGGTCACGTGTCGATGTTGTCACCCCTTCAGAAGAAATCCCCGTTACTAACATCCCTGATGGAAGGGAATTCCCCTTTGGCATCTCAACTGCAACAGCAGCAGCAGCAGCAGCAGCATCCTGTAGTGCCAGGCCAAATGTGGCGCTCCGTAAGTAACAGACTTTCCAACTCATTCGGATACAGAAATTTGTTTGAACCGCTTAAAACATTAAAAATATCTTTATGTATACAAATATATATTGTATTGTTATTGTTAATTAGCTGCATGTTTTAAAAAAAAAAGGGAAACGGAACGAGTTTGTCGAAGTTCAAACAAATTTCTGTATTTTTTTACTTGACTGATCCAATCCCTCCTTCAGATCAGCAACATGTACTTCACTGTCCCACAGCCCGTCAACAATAACCATCCAATGTCTCATCATTCCATGGGTCAGATGCTACATCCGCAATCGAACCAGATGCTACAACAGCAACAAATCATCCAGCCTCAAGGGGTCAGTCAGTCTATGAATTCCAGCAGTTCGTACACTGTCATGTCCACGGTGAGAAAGAACCCCAGTTTTTCTTCAGCCTTTCCAGATCGGCAGTTTAACCATTTTTATTTTATTTATTTATTTTTTTCTGTGTGTTTCTTTATAGATGGCAACGCAGAACAGTATTCCGGGATCCGAGGTTTCTCGAAACTGTCTTCGTAATAATATTGAAACGACGCAATGGGAGCAAGATTACCCCAATAACGATTGCGTCATTACTCATTGCAGGTAAATTTTTTACGTGTATTTACTTACAAAGAAATGGCATCTTCAGGTTTTAAGATAGATTTACCTCATATCTCCGTAAACTATCTTTCATTTTTTTTTTCTAAATATCTCTAGTATTTGTGATTCCTCCTGTTGGCTCTAGTGAAGGGTTTTTCAATTATTTATTCTTTACTAGTATCTCTTCTAAAGTTTATCTGTATAAAGACTCTTAGTAAGCCTCTTCAACGTTTTCAGTAATGTTCTTATAAGTTTAAAGTTCTGATAATGAGCAAGAGCTACATTGTTCATCATCGAGTGGTTGTAATGCTTTCTGTATCGAGCGTTTTGTAACAAAAAAAATATTTGTTTCATTCAATAACGTTGTTATTATACCTCTATCGAAAAACCTTAATTATCATTTTATATATGAGGGACTCTCGTGTAGGGTGCCACACCCTCAAACTGCAAAGATAACCTCTTCAAGGAGTGTAAGGTTTTAAATCCCTAGAAGAGTCTTACACCTCTTAACAAGGCCTTATTCCCTTACACCCCCTAGAAGAGGTAAAACTCTTGTGTTTAACCCCTGAAATATTTTTGGAAGGCCTTTCACAATTGGCTAAGTTTTATGGAATAAGTGAAACGACCAGGTAGGTCCTGAAATGTAAAAAGAAAAGGGACGTTTCTACTGATGTAAGATGTCACGTAGTTGACTCCGGTGGACGATCGTCGGTTTTCTAGTTTCCTGGCATCATCGATGACACGTGTTACGAACAACAATAAACTTAGGAGTACTTTCTATGAGAAATTGGCACTATATAGATGTTAGACACATGAAGAAAATCCGGAAAATTCCACGTGGCCAGCCCTGCTGGTCAGGCGCGAAATCGCGACCAATGTATTTAGTGGTTTTATCCACTGGCGTGCTTCTTAATCGCTTAAGTCCTGTCTGAATTAGACTGAAATACACGTATAGGAATACAAGTCTAAGTAAAATAGCTTAACGAATTTTTTAATGTGGTGCAAAAACACATTAGAAAATCCTATAGGGTGCAGGCAGCTGAAAAGGCCAAGAATCACCGCTATATACGGAATAAAGTACACGTGAATAGAATAATTTCAAATGTAACAGATTTTAACCGAAATTTATTTGAACGTGCTATAATTAACGATTTTTAAAATAGAAATAGACAGATTTTCTTTCATTGTTGCAAAGCTTTTTAGAGTTATATCTTATGAATAACGCAGAGGACGTTTTATCTTCTTCTTTCACCTTACATTTTATTCAATTTTTTAGAAATATTTTACTTGTATCAACCTATAAAGTTACTACACGTATTTATAGTGTTTGCTTTTTATTTTTTTTTTATTTTAAGAGTTATTTCTCACTATTCTTTATATTTTTGCAACGTAATAAAAAACCGAAAATATTATTTTGATACTTAATTGCAACGATATTCCTAACTGACATTGTTTTATTTATAATGAAGTATCTTATTTATATATTTATATACTCGAGGAGTTTTTTTTATGTAGGATGAATCTGTTCCACTTTTGTTACTATAAAAGCTTTCCAATTATGTTACGACACGCTGAATTCAATCTTAATCCCTCTCGAGATAAATTTATCCTCGAAAAAAAACATTTCTTCCAAATCAAATTTTTATGAATATTTTAGTTTTTGTCTATGATTAAACTATTATATTCTAAAACAATTTTTCATAATTATTTTTCCTGTAACTGGAATAAATAATTTTTTCCCCTAGATTTAAAATATTTATTTTTTGCTAGGAATATAATAAATATTTTTTAAAAATTATTCTTATCGAATATGGAAATTCACGTTTTTTTTTTCTCGGGAAAATTAAGAACGTCTTTAAAAATTTCGAGGAATATTTGAACGAATATGAAGGAAAGTTTGAAGGAAATTGGAAGAAAATGTGGGGGAATATTAGTAGGAATATGGGGGAATATTTGGAGTTATATAGAGAAATATGGAGGAATGTTTGAAGGAAATTGGAAGAAAATGTGGAGGAATATTTGGAGTTATATGGAGAAATATGTTGGAATATTTGGAGGAATATGGAGGAATGTTTGAAGGAAATTAGAAGAAAATGTGGGGGAATATTTAGAGTAATATGAAGGAATGTTTGAAGGAAATTGGAAGAAAATGTAGGGGAATATTTGGAGGAATATGGGGAATATTTGGAGTTATATGGGGAATATTTGGAGTTATATGGAGAAATGTGGGGGAATATTTGGAGGAATATGAAGGAATGTTTGAAGGAAATTGGAAGAAAATGTGGAAAAATATTTGAAGGAATATGGGGAATATTTGGAGGAATGTAGAAGAATATTTAAAGGAATATGGGGAAATATTTGGACGAATTTTCGAAAAATATTTGGAGGAGGAATGTGGGGAATATTCAGACGTCTTTAAAGAAATACGTTGGAATATTCGGACGAATTTAAAGGATTATGGGGGGTTATTTGGAGAAACATGGGGAAATATTTGGAGGAATATGGAGGGAATATGTGGACGAATTTGGAGGAATACTCGAAATAAAATACGAAAAAATTATCGGGAATATTTGGAGGAATTACTGTATAAAGTATTGGAATTTATATCTTAAGATTTCATGCGTTGTTGCAATGAATGCGTTGTTGAAAGAATCCTTCAATTTCATTGCACGAATAAAAATCTTCTCATGCAATGGATTAAAAATTGAGTGCTTCTTTCAACGACACATTCATGCAACTTTTATGAATATTTATGCAATCTATGATAGATTTCATGGCTATAGAACCATAAACACTTAGCCGCAAGTTTTGCGTAATTCGAATCGTGAAGCACACACGAGCTCATAAAACTAAATTATACAGTAAAATTACGGTGAAAACATTAAGTATTCGAGATTCTTTTTTTAGTTAAATTTGCTTTTTATACTGTTAAACAATACTATTAATTACCAAAATGCGTCGAGTATATTGTCATTGATAAGATGAAAGTGATGCTTCAGCTTCTTGCTCTCCTCTTGAATAATTTATATTCCTTTTCTAGTTTAAAATTACGAATTTTACAATCTCGAACGATAATATTTATCAAGAGAATGTTGTTGTAAAATTATATATTTTATACTACACTAGCGTTATCATTTCTTGTATCTACCTTTGCACCTGTTGATGCCAGTTCTTATAACAAAAATAATTAAAAACTCATTAACAAAATAAAATTAAAAAAATACGTTTTTTTTTTCCTTCTAAATGAAAACAAAAACACAATTATCATCAGAAACACATTAATTATATTAAAAATTTATTTTTATTCTTCAGCAGGGACGCATTTAACTCGTGGTTAGAACCCCGCCCTCCCCAAAACACGTATGCATCGGTCAAGTAGAGGATTCCTTCGTAGAAAAGAATCAATCGTGTGGATGTTGTCAGGAGGATTTTCGATTCCAGTATTAAAAAATATATATATAATAAAAAAAAATAATTAAACCATATTAAAAATTTAATAAAACACCATACAACACGGATATGAAGCTATAAACTCTGAATGACCTTTTGATGACCACCATGATGATTAACAAAACAAATAAGAATCCAATTAATAATATTGATCGTAATAGTAATATTGATGATGTGGATGATAATGATGATGATGATGATGATGATGATGATAATGTTGAAGCAAAGCTTCAGAAAAAAAATAATGATAATATTGATACAAACTCGACTATGTACCGTGTCCCAATATTGAAGACAGTTTTATCGCTGTCTATAAAAGCTTCCTTCCTAAAAATTTCAAAAAAAAGAAGAAATTATATATATATAAATATATATATATAAAATAATAATAATAATAATAATAAAATAAAAAAGAAGAATTGACAGCCTTCTCAACGAGATTGTAAGT